TGTCAATATTTATGCGTTCCATTTCTTCCTTAACAATATCTAATTTTCCTACATTCATGGTTCTCACATTCCATGTCCCAATCACCATTGTCTGCTTACAACTGTTCCTCTTCCTTTGTATTTCCATATTTGAAAACTCAACCTCCTTTGCCTTTTCTGTTATCTACATTTGTTCTGTTGTACATAGGGTTTTCAGAGGCCTGCTATTTCAGAAGTGGATGGCCGATGTGTTTGGAATCACAGAATCCAAGGAAGCTTCATATATTAGTTAGTACATGAAGGGCTGGTTAATGGGAGATAGATGTGAAGGGAGTGGGTATAAATGGATGGGTATCCTGGTGGATGGTGGAGCAGGGAAATAAGTGGTGGGAAGTGGATAATACTTATCCATAGTAACTATGTAAATATTTGGTTTTGGTTTTTTGTGTTTTTTTTTATTTTTTAGGTATTAGTGGAGAAGATTTAGGTTCTTTGAAGGCTATCACCGAAATCCGTATCCTTTAAATTATTTTACAACTTATCCTTTACATTTCTGAAATCATAATTTTTCAGTGCTTTGGTTAATTGTACTTCTTTTTATTGACAAAAATAAAGAGAGAGGGTAATGCATGTTTTAGATTAAGAAATGAGAACCAGTATGCGTAAAGGTCAGTGCTGCTCAAAGTATAATCTGCAGACCAGTGCCAGCCAATGTTAGATTTGTATTGGCTGAAAGCTAAGCTTATTTGCTTCTAAACATAGCAAAATACTTACACTGTGAATAAAGACAGTAGTGTCATTTTGAACATTAAAAAGGCAACTGAATGAGTATAGGATAATTTTGGAAGGAGTTTCTGTTTGTATAGTTCATAGAGAATTTCACTGCTAACTCAAAGACTGAGCTGCTCTGGTGGTTTGTATCTGCTAGCTGCTTAAAGGGAGAAAGGTGCATACTTTCCTCACATGTGATTTATAGCCTTGGAAATCTACTGGGAGGTCAGATAGCGCCTGACCAGAGGATAATGTGAGTAAGAGAGAATATTTTTTAAAGACTCTAAGTGGGTATTTATGCCTATAATTTAGTTTATATATCTAGGCATTTGTAGTCAAATATTTTAGTAGGTATCTGTGTTTGGGAATTATAATCTATGATTCTTTATTACCTATATTTATAATAGTGTATTAATTTTGCTGCATTATAATTCATTAGCCATTTATGTGATTGTTTTCTCCTAACTTTGAACTCCTTAATGGCAAGGACTATGTCTTATTCAGCATCCCATCTATAGATACATTGAGAGAACTATATAGTGAGAAGATGTTTTCTAGAAACAGTCTAAGGATGAGTTTAATAAAAAACCTTTAATTTATTTAGAGGACTGAAGTTCTACTTGGATAAATGGAAAGATTTAATTGAAGAAATAGTAGGAACTACTGTAGGTTAGATGAAGAAAAGTCAATGACTTCATATTACTTAGATCTATAATAAATACACTTGGCACCAGCATTCAGGAGATCAGTAGATACATTTCATTGGGAAAGTCTGCAGTCAGGCACCTCTCCAAATTACTGTGGAGCAATGATGTTAGTTTGAGGACCAAGGTGTCCCTAGTTCAGACCATTGTCTTTTCAGTCATTTCCTTTGCATCTGAGAGTTGGACAATGAATAAGGATGACAGAAGAATTGATGCCTTTGAGTCATGGTGTTAGAGGAGAGTACTGAATATTCCACAGATTGTCAAGAGAGTAAACAGGTATGTTTTGGAGAGGGGAAGCCACATTGCTCCTTGGAGGCAAGGACAGGTTTTGTCTCACATACTTTGGGCATGTTGCTAGGAGAGGCTCTCCCTTGGAGAAGGATATCATGCTTGAAAAGGTGGAGGGACAGTGAAAAAGAGGAAGACCCTCAGGCAGGTGGATTCACATAGTGACTGTAGCATTGGGCTCGAGTGTGTCAGAGATTGTGAGGTTGGCACAGAATAGAAGAGGGTTCAGATCTATGTTTATACGGTCACTTTGAGTTGTACTTGACTCAGTGACATCTAATTATAATAATAAATACAAATTTTATGTTTGGCATCTTAGTATAAAATCATTTAGTGCCATGAATACCAAAATAAAAAGTATTCTTTTGTTCTTAATAAGCTTGTTAAGCAACAAAGATAAATCATGAAGTATATTTGAGGTGGTTAAATTACATCATGAAACCATGCTTTAAAAAGACAAAAAAACAGGCGAGCTCTGGTGGCCTAGTGGCAAGAAGCTGCAACTGCAAGCTCAGAGGTGCAGAGTTTAAAACCACCAGATACTCTGCTGGAGAAGGAGGAACAGTATCCTCCTGTACCAGTCAGATCTGATTTGACGGTACACACACACACACACACACACACACGAAACAAAAAAAATACAAACAAACAAATGTTCTTATGGAAAATGACATTAGCGACTCAAAGCTGAGAAAGGATCTAGATCCTATAAAACTTAGAGTTGTTGTTATGTTCTGTTGTGTCACTTGTCATGGGGACCCTATATACAACAGTCCTGAACCCTGCTCTATCTTGTATAACATTATTGTATCTGACGCAACTATCCTCATTATTAAAGTCACTGAATCAATTCATCTCATTGAGGGTCTTCCTCTCTTACACTGTCCCTTCAGCCTCCCAAGCATGATGTCCCTCTCTAAGGACTGGTTAGTCCTTGCAGCATGCCAGAAGTATGTCAGACAAAGCTTCACAATCCTTGCCTCTCAGGAGCAGCCTGGTTTCACCCTCTGTGGGACAAACCTATTTGTTTTCCTAGCAGTGGATGGTGTATTCATGGTACTTCTCTCCAGTACCACAGCTCAAAGGCATCCATTCTCCTTTAGTCATCCTTCATCATTTTCCAGCTTTCTGATGCATAGCAAGTAATTGCAAGAACTATGGCCTGGGTCAGACATACTTTAGTCTCCAGACTGACATTGTTGATCTTCAGTACTTTGGAGAGGTCTCTGACAGCAGGTTTTCCCAATGCAGTTGATCTTTTGATTTCCCGGCTTCTGGTACCAAGCGTGTTGATTGTGGAGTTAAGCCAACTGAAGCACCTTCTATCATGATGCTGCCAGTCGGCTCATGGTGAGAATCTTTGTTTTCTTTATTTTGAGCTTCAATCCATATAGATGGGAAATGAATTACAGATATTGGGCAATAGAGTCAGAGAAATATAGAGGGGACAGCGACTCAAATTCTGAGTATTCTGGGAATCACCTTAAATAAGTGTGATAAGAAAATGTTCTGATCACTTGTTAAAAAAATTGCAGTATTAGAATAGAGGAGTAGAAATAGTGGGATTGTTACTATATGTTGTCATATAGTAACCTCAGATATAGACATCCTTTAAAGTTTTTGTTTGATTCACTGTCTTAATCTTGCTTAATCTTATTTTTTTCTGGCAATCTAAGTAAGAGTGGGAACATATGAAATAAACGAGCAGTGAGCAGGTATATATTGTTTCATTATCTGGATGAAAATAAAAACCTTCTTATCCCTTACTGGAAGCCTTTTATAGTGTGACAGACTACCTTTTAAAAGAATTTTATTTTACAGATGTCCATGACATACTAGCACTGCTGAACAGTGGTTTGGTTGTTTAAATCTTTTCATTAGTTGAGAATATTGCCAGTATCTCTGTCCATTGATTTATTGTTTATAAAGTTCTTTTGCTGCCAGACTCATCATGCTGCTATACTTTATTGTATCCACATATTATTTAAGGCAGAAGACTGTGCACTGTTCACAATAATTTGAAAGTTTAAGAACTACATGAACACAGATTTATTTTGTTTTTTCCCCCAGTACTAAAATGTATTTGGATTCTCAAGACAGTTAAAGTTTTGTCAAATTGATCTTGCCACAATACTCTTGTTCTACAGACCTTTCTCATCATTATTATATAAAATTACAATGACATTGCTGAGATTTTTGAGGGGGATAGGAAAAATATTACATCAAGTGTTGATAGTGATAATAAATGATGCTAGCAGTCAAGTTTTTCATGAGCTAGAATGACCAATTCTACATTTCTACATCAACTTTGAATAACAGATTTGTTTTCATGAATATAAATTGATATGAAACTACTTAATGAGAGAATAAGCAGCATGATAGCCATTTGTGGGCTTGTTACAAATAAATATTTTATATCAAGAGACAGATTTTGGAGGGAAAATGAGATTCTTTCAGAAGTTAATAAATTGATAAACTTAAAATTACACTTCAGTTTTGGCACAAATATTCTGATACTCTGCACAAATAAAATGAAGATTTAGAAATCATATCTGCCTACTTTAATAAATGTAAAAGCTTTATTAATTGGTAACTGTATATTAGGAATTGTTTCAAGCATTTGGGATAAACCAGTAAAGGAACTTACATTCTTAGATTGGAGAGTGAGGGAAAGGATAGATATGAACAAAATTAGCACTAAATAAATAAGTCTCATAGGCTTATAAAAGGTAAGAAGTACTGTGGAAAAAGGATGCAATAGAACAGGCTTAACTGGATTAAATTAGATATATTGCATTTGGAAGTTCAAGTGGAAAAATTTGATAGAGTGATTATGATAGGTCCTATTGATAAAGTGAGATTTAAACATTTGAAGGAGATTAAACAACCAAGGAAATATGGAGGGAAGAACCATATAGCCAGAAGAAAAGCCTTTTAGTAAACTTCACTGGTGGTGTTTAGGAACAGTGAAGAGGCTAAGGTAGATAGAGGAGAATCAGTTTGGGAGAATGATAATAGAGTTTTTTTAGCCAAATACTTTGAGAGAGGGAGTTTTTTTTTTTTAACAAAAAGAGTATCATTTAAGTTTTAATTGGGTCACTCTGGTTGCTCAGTTGAGAATAGATTTTAAGAGTCAAGGGTGGGCTCTATAATCCAGGTACTTTTGTCCTTGAACCCTCCTAACTGAAACATGCAGAGAAGGCTTGGGATTTTGTAAGCCAAAGGATAAGAGGAGCGGACCTGCCTCAGATTCTGTAAGACAACACATCCCTGTCCTCTATAATCAAGATACTTTCATCCCTGAACCTTTCTGAATTCAACACACAGAGAAGGCTTGGGATTTCTTAAGAACAACATCACCCTATTTCAGGCCCTCAAGCCAAAATGGGGAGTACTGATATATAGGTCCTTCCCAGAACATCACCCTCTCCTGGGACATTACACACAGCATCACATCTACCAAGAAAGGATTCACATAATGTTGAGAAAGCAACAGGCAGCCTAAAACATTAAGAAGAAACAAAATAACCCTTCTCCTAAAAAAATAATAGCATATTGCAGCCTCATGAATATCCCAAACACAGAAAACTAGGAAAAAATATGTTGCTATGGAGTTTGCTTGGCTCCACAGTCAACACTCTTGCACCAGTAGCCAGGAAATTGAAAGGCGCATTGCCATGGGAAAGTCTGCTGTTAGGGACCTCTCCAACGTATTGAAGAGCAATGGTGTCTCTCTGGAGACTAAGGT